GGACACCTCCTTCTTTCAAATATAAACACGTTTTGCTTGGTTTTCTACAAAGGCAGGAAAACTGCACACTATTAGAAGGTGTCTAATCCTCCCATCTGCTGTTTCCTTAGAATAATATTTACTTTTTAACATCTGTACTGCATTTCCACAGTTCAAACACACACACAGCTCCTGGAATGTACATAGTATTTAGGAAATTTTTAACTAAGTTTTCTTAGTAATTGTATAGTTTTCCCTTGACAAAGAGAGGATCAGACTTTTTCAGGAGGATTACCTCTGCCCAACTCATTTCAAGCAGCGCTTGAATAAAATAGTTCATTAGTTCATGAAAAGGAAAAACTCCAGGGAACTGCTGGGAAAGGAAAAGAAATTAACAGAGTGACACAGCGATTAGGTTTTGAGATGACAATCTGAAAAATCCTTATCCTCCAAAATGCAGGTACACATATGTATGCCTCTCTTCTCCTTAGGTAAAGCATTTAGAGGAGCTCATAGAACATTTTTCCCTGGGAATCAGTGTTCCAGAGATTAAATTTGTAACCAGGCCACCATTTCTCAGAAAGATACTAAAAGATACCACTTCCTTATAGTACCTTACTATTGCTAGCAGTAGTGATAGGGCAGTTGTCTCCCCTTTGCAAGCATTTAAACAGCTTAGTTTCAGACTTCCTCAAAATTCAGTTTCCTGCCCTTTTTTAGGCTCCCATGGCTGATGCTGGAAAACCAAAGAATCTCCACACGCCTGGAATCATTTGTGTCTGCCTGGGTGTGCAGGCAGCCAAAGGGGCAGCAGAGCCAGTGACTGCACTTACCAGAGACCGGAGAAACGATTGGTGGGAATGAGGATGAAAAATGGGGAAAATTGGAAGGGGTTGTTTGAGCTGGTCCTAGCACAGTAGAGTATGAAGCATTCCAGGGCCGTACAAGCCCTCAGGAGTCCAGACCATCACCAGGGCAAACAGCACCCTACAGCAAACCTTTACCCTCTTCTCCTGTTGTTCCTTCCGTCTGCTCCACACTTACATCAAAACATGCAGTCTTCAGTCAGACTGACTAAGCTGCCAAACAAGATGTCAGTGAACACAGTTCTGGTACCACTTCGCAGTGTTTTGTCACTGTCTCGTTTCAAATCATCTTGAAACCACCAAGAAACACCTGATCAGCATCAGAAACATCATCAGGTTGCTACTGGCCTGGCATGAATCGGTGACCTTGAATTACAGACCCACAGCAGATAGCATAACTGAAAAAATTAGAAGATGCCAGAAGAATGGATTGCAGCCTCTATGAACTCTCCTGTTCTCTTGCTAAAGGGCGCATATTTGAAAACTGGATTTTCCCACAGATCTGTTGTGATTTTCCAAAAATATCCTTAAACTGTTACATTCCAATTGTTGGTATTACTGTGGATAAGATGGCTCAGTTTCAACCCACAATCTTAGAAAGGAGTCTCAATTTTGAGGACCATGAGCAACTCCTTCTTCTAAATATGGTCATTTAAAATAGACTGGTAAGTTAAGAATATGATACAACATGACAGAAAAACAGATCTTACATGAATACTGATTTGTATATCAGATTAATAAATTAAAATCTATCAAACTATCATATACTGAAGTAAACAGTCTATCTGCTCTGTTTCTGGAAACATTTTGCCTAAGGGAAAAATTTAAACCTGGGCAGATAATCAGGATAAGGTATTTGAACACTTAAATCCTTCTGGAGTCTTCAAAGTAGGTGTTAAGTGGTGCATTAAATTTGTGCTGTTTCTTCTGAGCAGGGTAAATTTGCTCTTCTGTAAATAGTGGGAAAAGCATTTTACAGTAATTTGAATCCATGAATAAATGTAATATATTAAAATTGCTAAAGTACGACCACTAAATGTTTTTGTACATAAGCCAAATGAGTGGAATATCCAGGACTGAAATTATTTGACTGACCAAAGAAAGATAATATATAATTAAAATTACATCTGCAGCACTAACCAATGGGATGAGAGAAAGTGACATCACAGATCTCGTACAAGCTGCAAGCGTATTATTAGATCTCAACCTGGCTATAAAATTACTATCTGCCCATGGGATTATTCATTGTTCATTTACTGATAGAACAGGGATGATAACAGCCTGACTTTGCTTGTCACAGTTTTTTGGCCTTCCTTTATTCTTCGTTCATCTTAGCTACAGATGAGAGGAAGCTTCGGCTGAATCACTTTTGTGGAGCTTTTCATTGTTTTACAGCTTGTTCAAAAGACTTTTTTTTTTTTTTTTACCTTTTTTTCCTTCCAGAAAGAAAAAATAAAAAGCTGCAAGCATTTTTAATGGTGACAAAATTGATGTGGAGTAAAACACACGATGTAACATCTAGGAATGTGGCAACCTAAGGAATGCCTATTGGCCTAATGTAGCACAAGACTTTGCTTATTGCTCCCATTATTATCACAAAGAACCAGTAGCTACCGGTTATATCTTGGCTTCATTAAAATTCAGTGCCAAAACTCTGACTGACTTCAGTGGATACATTTCATCATTGGAGAGCTAGGACACAGGACATAATTCCCCTTCATATACAGGGCTATCTGGGACACCTGATCTCTACAGATTACATTTCTGCATTAAATTGGACACAGCTGCATTTTGATTCATTTCACATACTGGTTTTATGTTCTTGGCCAATTTTAAGCTGCCTATAGTTGTAACAAGACTCATGTGCCACCAACCTCGACCAGTCAAAAATTCTAAAAGCATAGAAGGAGACAGGCAGTTAAAAGGCAGAAAAAAAAGAATCTCCAGACTTTCTGGTCTCTTCTGAAAGCCATGCTAACAATCCTGAACTGCAAAGGGGACTTCATATGCTCTCAGAAATATGGTCATAAGTGTCTCCCTCCCAGCATTTGAAATAGTTTCCCTATGCCAATTTTGCAAACTAGGCAGAAGTCCAGGACCAGGCGAGACCACAGCCAGTCATGGGCTTGTGCATACACTGTGACAGCAGACATGGACCTTGTGTTTTCCTCCATATTGCCTTGATACAAAGCAGCTACTGCCATGTGTTATCTCTTACTGCACCTCCCATCATCTCTTCCAATATAACCTTAAATCTCTGCTCCATCAACCACTGAAACCTGCAAACAGGCTGCATATGCAGAGAACGCTGCCTCCTGCTCTTGTCACTACAGTCTTGCTTTTCTTTGTGTTTTTCCTTAACAATACCCATCTGCTGTCCTTTAGCTGAGTTGGCACTTTGAGGGAGTGACCATCTCTAGTAAACAGAAGGATTTAGCCCATGATTAATACTCTCAGTGCTACTGCCACAGAAACATATTGCATTTTATTAATATTAATGTATTAATTACTTCTAGTCCAAATTATATTTTTCTATCATCCCTTTTAGAACTGATACATAGAATAGACTTTTCCTGCAAACCAATTCAGCATTAATCTTTGATTCAAAACTCGTCCTTCATAGAGCCACACCAGTATGCCATTAAAAGTCACAATGGATCTCTGCACTAGAAATGAGGTGTCTGCAAGAAGCTTAGGTACATCATCCCTTTTAGAAAACATTCCTCCAGCACTCAGACTGGGTGAGGAACAACGAATATGAATAATTAATTGTTTGTGGCCCATCAACAGTGCTTACAACATTTTGGATGTAAAGAATGGAGACAAAGACCTAAAGGCTAATAGGGGCAAAGACTCATAAAGGTAGGCCTGAGGAAAAACAAGCATGTGATAATAAAGCAAAACAAATACAGAAGTGAAAATTCACCACAGAAAAAGTCAAAGAAAAAGAACAGAACAAGCAACACAGCAAAAATCAGCAATATCTTGGAAAATCAATGAAATTTTTAAATGTGTCCTTGATGTAACATAAGATAGACTAAAATCTATTCTTTCCTGAAAGGTGACAGCTGTGGGGCAAAATGTGAGTAAAAGTTGGGAGGATCTCTTCTCACCTTTGATGTTACCCCATCAGAACTGCGCTTTGCCTCAAAATGGTAAGAAATATCTCTTATATTTCAATATTAACAGTTTCTTAATGTCTATGTTGTAGTATGTTTCATGTAAATTGATATGCAAAACTTGGTCTCAGTTACCTTTAAAATGGAATTCTTATTGACATTCTTTGTTTCCCACTAAAAGTCCATAATTCAGTGGTCAGCTTATTTTTAGGGATATTATGTGCAGTCCAAAAGGACAAGCAGACCTGAAGAACTTCTGTATCACAGAACTGAAGCATTCACCTATATTCCAAATGCTTCACATATCAAAAATAGAGAGACTTCAGTAAAAACGCATGTGCATTTAGATACTTCGTAAAATAACAGGGAATAAAAGAAAACTAAACAAACCAACAAACAAAGAAAAGCCAGAACTGAGTTATGTTCAGAAGAAAAACAAATACATGAGTAACAAATTATTTGCTAATAATGCACACCCATTATTTTGCATTCTTCAGGTAGAATTTACTACCTTTCTCTTTAGTTATCTCAAGTGTCTGCTCTTAACCAGACACTCAGGTTGTTTCTACTTTCAAAAGCAGTAGGAACCATCACAGGACTATACAAAACCTGCCTCAGCTCCTAGGTAATGACTGAGTTGAAACACTCAGTGGGGGCTCCCTTTTCTCTGGTCGTTAAGGAAGGGTAAGATAGACAAAACACCTGACTTCAAGATGAGAAAAAATTCTACAGGGTGAATCCTTCCTTCTCGGTCTAGAAACTGCACTGGAAAGTCATCCCAGATGTAACATTTTCCGCACCCTTATTTGAACAGAAGAACTAAGAGAAGCAGTCTTTCTTGTAATGTGTTAACAATTCTGCATCAACAGCGAGCCTGGTTGATGGTACATAAAGCTAAAAATGAATAAAATCTTCACTAAATTGCTTTGAATGTTCAAGCAGACTGAGTTTGCTTTTTCAACTGAGGCTTATGTCGCTTCCAATTTTTCCTCAAAACGTTTGCTTATCCATATATTTATCACAGAAATGGCCTTACCTCAGCTGCATCTTGCTGGTCTCTGAAGACAATTGCATTTTTTATGGTTTGGATAAAAAAACTATTCAGTTCCTTTTGTTTCTTGTTTGGCAAAATTCGGAGCAATGGGATCATTATGAATGGGAAAGAAACTGTAAGAGATTTTAAAGAAGAAAACACAGAATTAGACTGTAAAAGCTTGTAATATCCCCTTCCTTTCATTAATATTACAAAACTCATCAAGTGGAATGTGTTACTTTCGGGAAACCTGTTTCATTCCTTTTCTCTCCCTCTCTTTCTTCCACCTCCATGAGCTGGTAAAGGATTTCCTTTTAGAATTTCCATGTTGGCCATGATTCCCTTGCTAGACAGAGGCCTTCTAAGATTGCATGCACAATACTTCAGGATTTTGGTTCAGCCTCTTGATGCCATGGAGCCATCACAACAAAGGGGAAAATTATTTTCCCACCTACTTAAACAATAACATACAGAAGGTGGGGGGTTTTGAACTAGCATAGCAGTTTATGGCACTGATCCATAAAACTGTGTAGTGGTCATTCTCATATACAGTTCTTCAATACTAGGATATTGGTTTGTAATTTTATCTTGCTTCTCCAAGAAGGCCACAGATTCTGGAAGTAGGATGTTAGCAAAAGGATGGTCTCCAGTCCATGGCCTTTATAGTCAGGGACTAGAAACCTGAGTGAAGTCTTGAATCTTCATAAGCCCCTCATTAGCTTTTGAACAGCCTAAGACTAACAAATCAGTTATTGGAAACCTCCTGTCCTGCCAACAGGGCAACACAGTGTGGAAATTCAGACCATATAATGTATAAACAGAAAGAGATCGACCAAAGAATCTAACACCAAACCCTACAAAGACTTTCCTTAATGAAGGACATGGCCCTAGACATATAGGGAAAAATTTTTGTCCCTTCAGAAACTAGTCACAAATCCCAATTTGCAATCAGGTTAAACATTAACCACAGGACATTTTGGATGTTCAGCTCCAGAAGGAAACAGTTCATATGCTGCTTGCCAGTACAGGTGCAATCTGTAATGCCAGCAGGATCAGATGGGCACAGAAAACTTTGCCACTGTGCCACCTGACACTACTACAAGCAGGTCTAGAAAGGAAGATGGTAAAACTTCAACAACCTCAATCATGCTGTGGCTTCCTCAGCTACAATTCTTACTGCTCTTGTATGAGCAATACCACTGACACCGTGAAGCCTTAGCTTTCATGCCCTAGAAATAAAAGGTTTTATACTCCCTTCTTGCATTCCCCTTCTATCCATCTAAAAATAAATGCACTCTCTTAATGACAGCCTGTACTGGCACTTATCATCTTTATCCTTTATAGCCGTCAATCCGGCTGCTGTTGCTATTTAAATAAGAATTAGAGAACCTATGCTACCTGCTTAGGCTCCTCCACCTCTTTTCTTTAGTGGGTTATTAGCCCACTGTTGTTTATGGCTGGGATTTCAATCTCTACTTAGCAAAATAAGTGCATAAAAACTTTACTCTCAGGCTCCAAAAGGCAGTTACTCTGTTTTAAGGCAAAAGTATTTAAAGAAATAAGGTAGAAACTACAGGTCCCAGAAACCTTCCACTTAGATCAACCAAGAGCATTGCCTTCCAAGAACCCTCAGTTTCTGAAGGCAGTTGCATTAATGGTGACAGGAACTGTAGAGAATGTGGGGGCAATCTCCAGGGTATACTTGGCCTGTAAGTTATATTCTGAACACCTCTGAAATAAGGTCTGCTATACATTTTCCTGCTCCTGATTCAACACGTTTTGTAATTTGAGAATGAATTTTAGAAAATTACCATAAAGAAGTAGATAAAGGTAGACTATACTTACGGATTAGAATGAGGAGAGGCTTAAACAAAGACATTTCAAAGAACGTTCTGCAATTCTTAACAAAAGGGTCGTCAGGATTCTTCTGAGAATCCACCTCAGTACCAAAAGCTACACTACCAACAACATCCAAGGTATAGCAGTTGTAACACCTGCATTGAGTTGAAGAATGATAAATCATTAGCTAAAAATTACAAATCTATTAAAATATTGCTTCTACAAACATCACATAATATTAATTGTTGACCCTGATTTTCTTTTTGCTTTTAGATTTGAGCTTTGCCAGCAAGAGATCATTCTGACAAATGCTGGTGCTTAATAACAATCATCTTCTCTCACTCTATGAAGTGAATATATTTTCATAACTCAACAATCCCACTAAAAAATATACAATAAAAATTCTTTCATTTGTTATTATCTAGAAATCAAATGCATCAGTTCCGAGATTCTTAAGTGTTTTCTTAGTGTACATCCTAATTAAAGAAATAATTCCTGTCTCATTTTAAATGGCAGAAACCACATCTACTACCAGTCTAATCTACATTCTCAATGAGATGAGGTACGTAAGTAAAAATTCCTGTTACAGATTTCCTTCATCTTTTTGATAGCTGCTTTGTAATGTAAAATTGTGACCAAAACCAAGAGGAACTGACACCCTGTGAAATCTGTATCTCTGCAGAGGAGCACCAAATGCTTTGAAAACTAAAAAGTATCTGTGGACCATGATCTAGAAACTTCAGAACTTACTGAATCTCTCCTGCATATCTGACCACCTATCTAGTTGTCTCACCATCTTCTACTGGGCATTAGCAGCTGTATTTAGTTTTGAGTTAAATGGACTGAGAATGTAAAATAGCCTTGAAATTTGATTCTTCTCATGTGTGGTCAAGTCTGCAATGGATGTTCTTATTTCCCTTACCAAAGGCTAACATCAAAATCTCTGGTGTTTTAACCTGAGACCATATTATAAGAAAGGACAGTATACAGGCCCAGTACATCCTGTATATACATATTATGAAGCAGCATTTCTAAACTATGACCCTTGAGCACTGTCATTCTGGTGACACTAGAGTAGACTTGGAAGGTAACAGTACTGCAAAGCTAAGTATCATCTTTGGGTTTTCAATTTTTACCCAAAAAACCCAAGCATTATCAGAAATTGAAATGTTAAAAGAAGGGACGCTGCAGCAAAACACTAACTTCAGAAATGCTTGATCATCCACCTTTCCAAGGTGCTATGATAGATTAAAAACTAAATTTTGGGTGTTGAAACAAAATGGCTAAAGTACAAATGATGTACAAGACAACAGAAGATTGCAGATAGTGTATTTACATCCAAGAAGTAGCTTCCCAGGCAATTCTGGGAAAATGCAGTGCAACGAGAATTAAAATTATACATGTCAAAACTGCTGAAATGGTAGCATCATGAAACAACTGAAAGATCACATTATGAGATGGTCAACACCATTCATTTATACTTTCAGAAGGTCTTTTCCAAAGTGCCCTTTGAATGGTGAAACCCTATCATGGATCAATTCCTTAAAGACCAGGCAAAGAAAAAGGACAAATAGAAAAAAAGGGGAAAGCCTAGAAGGACTTAAAAAGTCAGTTTTCATCAGAGCATTAGGCTAGTTGTAATTCATCTCAAAGATTCAATGCGTCTCTTCGTTTGTTTAATAAAGAGATCCCTGTGCACACACACTTGCCTATGTGCTTGGAAAGAGATGGGTGAATTGTGGCTAAATATCTTTTTCTTTAAATGAAAAAAAAATATTATTTGCACTGCTGCAGTTTGGGGGAAATCATTAAGAACTTCACAGGGCACTGACCAACCTAGCAAATGAAGTGTATACAAAATAGACCCTACTAGAAAGAATGCATTTAAACTACTCATATGCCATACAGGCTCCTAGAATAAATGTATCTGCTCAGAGAAGATGTTAGACAGTGTTGTGAACAGTTCAGTGAAGACCTCTGACGAAAGAACAACACAAGAGATAACAGGATATTAAATGCATAACAAAGGGGAGAAAGCACAGTATGGAAAATATTAAAGTGTCATTTTATAAATCAATGGTGCATTCTCATCTGTAGTACTGATGCCATCATTTCACAAAAGGCTAGCGTGCCATTAGAGGGGTTAGAAGGAATGTGGTGGGAATGATTAAGTACTCAAAAAACCTCATATAAAAAAAGCAAGAGCGTGATGGACTAGAGGGATTTGATACTAGATCAATTCTTATATTTATACATTATTGGCACACTGTAGAGAACAGACTGGACAGGCACTGAGGCAGCTTTCCTTTCTGCTTCCAGCTGTTAAAACTTCATTAAACAACAGCTAGAAATACATTAGATCCTTTTCCAAAATTACTTTTCAAGTATGCAATGGCTGCCCCCAGGAAGAAAAGGCACCTATCAGACACATCGCCTATTAAACTATGATGTTCACTTATAAAAGTGAGGGAGGGGGAAAAAGTATTCCTTTATACAGTAAGTGCATATTTAGAATAACTGCTGCTATTGATTTTTTATTTTTTTAAATCTGCTACTAATTTCTGGCATGTTCAACATACCTCTGGATATCAAAAGCTTTGCCAGAATCTGCATAGACTTTCAAGTTACACAGCAGGACGTCACAGGCCTGGTTTATTAGCGGTGTCATCTAGAAAGGAACACATTGTACTGTGAAAAACATTAAAATGTTAAAAATAAACCAATTTTTCTACATTATTTTTATCCAATAGATGGGATGGAGCTCAGAATCTGCTGCAAGTGTGGTCAGGCACTTTTGCACTAGTAAGATGAAATGTTGGGACTGACTGCTAAAAATAAACCTTTCTCTAGCTCTGAGTCTAAACATGAGAGGTCCTGTCACTTAATTGACCTTTGGTTCTTGCCCACCTGTAGCTATGTACAGAGAGAGGTTTCAAGCAAAGACATCCCCCTCTCTTTTTAACTGTTCCCTGTTCCAACTGAAGATTTATCACAATCCATACTTACAGTACATTACATTTAGGCTACATATTGCAATCACAGAACAGTTTGAGTTGGAAGGAACCTTAAATATCGTCTAGTTAAAGCCCTCCTGCATGGACAGGGACACTTCCCACTAGATCAGGTTGCTCAGAACCCCATCCAACCTGCCCTTGAACACTTCCAGGGAGGGGGCAGCCACAACTTCCCTGAGCAACCTGTTCCAGTGTCTCACCACACTCACAACAGAGAATTTCCTCCTAATTTCTAACCTAAATCTCCCCTCTTCCAGTTTAAAACCATTACCTCTTGTCCTCTCACTATAAGTCCTTGCAAAAAGTCCTTCCTCAGCTTTCTTGTAGGCTCCCTTCAGGTACTGAAAAGTCTTTCTAAGGTCCTCCCGGAGCCTTCCCTTCTCTAGGCTGAACAACCCTAACTTTTTCAGCCTGCTTTCAAAGGAGAGATGCTCCAGCCCTCTGATCATCTTTGTGGCCCTCCTCTGGATTTTCTACAGGAGCTCCATGTCCTTCTTATGTTGGGAGCCCCAGAATTGAACACAGTACTCCAGGTGAGGTCTCAGAAGAGCTGAATACAGGGAGAGAATCACCTCCCTTGACCTGCTGGCCATGCTTCTTTTGATGCAGCCCAGGACATGGCTGGCTTTCTGGACTGCAAGTGCACATTGGTGGCTCATGTTGAGCTTCTCATCCAGGGCAGATATGCTCCAGGGGAGAAGGAATAATATTTTCCATAGTCTCAAAGTGCTGTAAAGATATCAGCACCAGAGTCCTAGCATCTCCATCTTGTTGTCCCTCAGTCTGAGGGATTTTATAAGTACTTTATAAGAACACCATGCATACCCCAGTACAGGGCAAACTGCTATTGCTACCTGAGGAATGAGTTTTCTGGAGTGGTGACACCATTAAATGGACATTCATGTGAATTTATTCAGCTAACAGTTCTTTCCAGTCACTGACACATGATGGTCAAGGATACCTTCCCACAGCCTAGCAGTAGCTAGCAGTGCAACAGTCTCTTCTTTACTTCATGGACACCATGACATAGGCAACTATCAAGACCTCATTAAAGTCTCTAACTTTTTTCATATGAAAGGCATCAGACACCTGCCTTGATTATACCTACTAGAGGAGTAGAGGAAGGGTGTAGCTGCAGCAGTATAGCCATGACCCCAAAGGCATTATCTGCTATAGTTCTTTCTCCATATAGACTGCTCAGAGGTCTTTATAACCTACAATATAATACCAGTCTTGCCTCAACAATTATGCCAGGCATCAGCAGACATACACATAGTTACCTCCCTTTCCTTCCTGAACAACTTCCTTCGGCATACAGATGTCAACAAACATGAGAACAGACTTGTCCTACTCCTCTGACATTCTTGATACCAAACCAGACTTACTGCAGCCTCTCTGCATTCTCTGAGAGCTATGCAGCCTGCACAGCCAAGTCCATTTTGCTTGGCACTTCTGCCTCTGTGAAACTGGCATAACACTTCATGCACAGGCACATTGCCATCCTAACACATGGGCAAGACTATGCACAGTCAAAAGGCCAACGAGGGAGCATCCAACATGTTTTCAAAAGGCAGAAGTCTGAGTCAAGAATGTGTCTAGCTGCTCTCAAGGTCTGGTACCTATATGGGATGGAGCAGGTTGCCACTATTTCAGCTCAAAGCTGGATTGATTTGGGCTTTGCCACAGTCTCACGGGACAATTCTGAAGCCAGGTAAGTATTTGGTAAAAGTAGCTGTTATCTGTTTGGGAGGTAGACACCATGTTATGTAGCAGCTTTCTTCCCCTTTTGGTTTTCTAAAGAAGGTCCCCTGCAGTGATCTTCTTCTCAAATGGTTCAACAAAATTAGCACATTTCTGTTTAACAGACTGAACCAGAGTGAAATGCTTTATAATCCCTGGGCCCTGCTCTTCCAAGGACTGAACCAGTCAAGAAGAATAAAATGAAAATCCATATTTTAACAGGTATGATATTTCCTAAACAGATGGTGATCATTTCAGATTTTCCTTATTTTCTCTTTTACTGCCTTATTTTCTCTTTTATTCTTCATCACATCACCAAACCTGCAAACACCCAGCTGGTTGCTATCAGTTTCCAACAGCTGCCAGAGATGGCAGGGACACATACCCCTGGCCAGGGCATCTCACAGCACCTCTGCACTTTCCAACATTCCACCAGCCTTTCAAAATACCATTGCAATTCATTTCTACTCATAAGATATTTTTATCAGTAAATCTAACCAGGAAAATGGTGAGGGGGGCACATGGATTTGATTTATTGTTAGCCTGATAGGACTGAGTCATATCAATGAGACAATTATTTGCATATGAAAGCTACGGGGGATATCTATTCAGGAATCCTGGGTTTGGGTTTTTATTCCCCTGAGGGACATAAATTAGTCCAAGATTGCTAACTACAAAGACCGCAGACTGAAACATTCTCAAGTCCCTTAGCACTTTAAACTCTTTGTTCAATTGTCAAGAAAAATAAAGTAGTGTTGGGGGAGTTGAACTATATCAAACTTTGAAAACCAGCACAGAAGCCGACGCGTTGATCTGCACCACCTTGGGTATCACTAACTTCCTATACATTCACATTTGCCAGCCAGAACATAAAAGCTGCATCACCTGCCTGAGATTCAGTTCTTGGTGGGTAAACAAACCCCAGCTGCTCTGTGTTCAGATTGGCTGAGAGTAACAGGATGAAGAAAAATCTAAACAATATGGTCTCTGTAAATATTTGATCTGCCAGTTATCTAATAGCAAGAGTAGCCCAGAGTCCAAATTTCTTTCTTTCTGCCAAAGAAGAGCATTCGGGGTTAGGGTTTTCATGATGCCAGGGGCTTTGCTGTTTAAATCCTGCCAATATGCTGTTTGGCACATAACAACAATTAGTTTCTGATTCTGCATACGCACAATGCATGGGGATGTTTGCACTGTTCAAAGGCATCAGTGTCATGTTCCTCTAGTCAGATGTGGTCCTCAGTTTTCACTATTATTATTCCCCTTATTATTAGCATCCAAACTATAAAGCAGAAGGCTGGATCATATTCACTGTAGACAGACACACTGGAGACACTACTGTTCACACATAGCATGCAGAAGCCATTTTGGGCCTCTTGTTCCACAGATGGAATGAAATATAAAGGGAGGAGAAGGAAAAAGGCTATGTCCCTAACCTAAGAATTGCTTCTGTACCAGATTTCAAATCCCTGATTTAGAACAAAAAAAAAATGGAAGAGCTTCAGGAAGATGCTTGTGAGAACATTTGTTTCCATCACCTTAGAGTGGGGCTCCACTGTCCATGGGCACAATTTACCAACACAAGCAGCTCAACTTGACACTGACTTGTGGCTCAAGGATACGCACATTTCAGGTACCAGCTTCTACATTAGTGATTTGCTTTAACTCAGGTGAGCATATTTGCTTTCCTGAGTAACAACAGCAATTTTCAGAGACCCTCCCAAAATGCCTCTGATCAATGTGCATAAGCAGAGTGAGAGCAAATCAAGGAAAACTCAACAGTTGGACTGTCAGATCGTATGTCCTAGTGGAACCTGGAAGACCTACATACCTAAGAGTGACACTAGAGGATTTTCCTCCACTGTTCTGCCATGTTATCACAAATTCTGCTTTGTGTCTCCCTTCATTTGAAAGAAAATGCCTCAACACAAACTCCACTTCACAGGTTATTTAGGACATTACATTATGCTGTGCTCTCTTCTTTAATTTCTGTTTCTGTTTTGTTTTAATGGTTGGTTAATGGAGGACAGGATTCCCGGCATACAGATAGGAGATGACAAGACTACTGCAGCACCATCAGAATAAATAAAAATCAATAGGTTTTCTGCTGGTGTTGGCTGTAAAAGAAAGCAGAGCTATTTATCAAGTCTGACAAGGGGTCTAGAACTGCAGGATCATCACAGGCACCACAGCAAAAAGAAGAGGAACAAAATAAGAAATACTAAATAGGGGATCAAGATCAGTACAACAAGATCACTAACATATCAGCTTGTTTCAATACATAATAGCTGAGGAGAACATCACAGGAGCCCTGAGAAATGCAGCTTTTACTTAAGGCCTCCAGGTATTTTACTTCACCAGTTTCTTATAAGTCGCATCTTGGATCAGTTTCAGCGGTCGGTGTAATTCCCATTTAACAGGTGAAAGTAATTTCATGCACAGAGAATTTCAGTAGCCTCTGCCAGATCACCTACAGACAGTCAATGGCAGAGCTGGAAGTGAAACTTCTTGGGTCTCCTGCTTCCTGTCTCTCATTTCTTGTTCTTAGTGTTCCTATAGCAATGGCACTATGAGGTCCATTCAGCAGCTTCACTGGAAAGAGCTTATTATCAGATCTGCACCAATTCCAGCGGCATTTCACTTGGGATGCTACCAAATCTTACTGCAGGATCAACCTTAGAAGTCTATTTATGCTACACTCACCACTATAGTATTTCAATTTAATGCCATCTGGAGCCAAGCATTCCTTCAGTTGGAGTGGACTGCTTTACTAATCTTGACATACTTGTTAGAAAAAGGAAATTAAAAAGGGAGAACACACAATGTTTAGAAACCTATAAAAGCAACAGTAAAGTGGTGCAGGGCTTAAAAAGAGAATATTGAGACACAGAAAGCTGGAGAAGATGCTAGAAAATCTTGAGAAATTTTAGGAAAACAACTCTGTGTGTACACACAGCAATCACTAGACTGGCTAGTTTCATTAATTGCTTGTGATTTTGCAAACTTCAAAATTTCTGGGATCAACTTGTGCTCATTTAGTAACTGTCTGTTGGAGATTTTTACCAAACTAAGGGGGAATTCCTCAAGCTCAGTGAACTTCTCAGTGACACTACACCACCTTAGTGGAAAGACAGGGACAGAGTACACCTCTGTCTCCAGCCACAGTAGAAAGATGCCTCTGTGGAGCATTGTGGGTCAGACCTTAGCAACATACATTAGTTCTGTATTGTGTTTTGGCCTCCAGCAGCCAGGCCAAAGACTGGACGACCAGCTCCATGCTCTTGCTAGTGTGGAAGCTGTCCTTTAACCTAGCAGTAGATTCTTGTGTTTCAGAAACAGAGTTATCAGGAATCTATAATCAGTTGTCCACCCCTCTACGCATCTTTTATCTGAAATTAGTGCTACAGGGAGCACAAGGAGTTGTTAACATCTATTGGTCTGCCACAGGCTAATAGCTCCCAGTTCTCTCAAAGCATCCAGACAAGACTCTGTTTGGAGTGGCACTAGGGGCTTCAGCGCTCCAGGGAAACCACTCTTCAAAGCCACTCAGGAGGTCTGCAGTCTCCTCAGAATGACTGGGAAGTTTGCAGAGGAGAACTAATGCAAGGCAGACATCCAGAGTTACCAGAGAGGAAGACTTTGGTATGTGGTTTTGTCAGAGCTCAGGTTTCTGTGGCAAAAGAATCAATACCTTAGGAGAAGAAATGAGGAATGTGTGTAGCAGTATTTGTAAATATGTATAAAACAACACATCCACGCTCTTATGTACTAAATTAATACCAAAACTAGCCTGCTTGAAACTCCTTTGAGGTAGAGAGGAAGAGTTTGTAAACAGGATGTCTTGTATATAACTCTGAATACTCTGTAGTGTGGCCAAAACTAGAACATGGTGTTTTTATTTCCATGCTGCTGCAAAGTTTCTGAAAGGACTAAATATGGGAGAGTTAAAAGTGAGATAATAATTAATGAGCATTGATTTCCTTTGAGAAGTCTTGGTATGGCTTCTAAATTAAGCTACAGCAAGAGAAGCACATGGGTGAGGATGTAAGTTGCATTAACTTCAAATCCCAGGATTGTTCATGCATTTGGGTAGAAAATGAAATGTAAGGCTGAGAAGTGCATCCCTTCAAAAGAGGTTTTAATCTCATATGGAATCATCTCTCTGTGTAGGGATGGATAGTCTTCTGGAGAAGATATTGGACAGAGGAACAAAGTTGAGCCTTTCAGAGAGACCTTCCCCACTCATCATTTTCCCACTTCCTGTAGACTGGAAGGAGAAAGCGACCACTTCCAGGACACCCCATGCAACACACAGTCACACCCTTTCTACAGAGTTTGGAAGAGGCAGCACAGGGAAAGCTGATTACCAGGCTAAAACCAAAGATCTCAGTTTTTGCATGTGAGACAGCTACCAGGCACTACCTGACCCTCCATTATACCTCCTACCACCACTCCTGTGTTGCTTCTTCGCCAGCAAGCAGTGCGAAGTGAGCACCATGACTTCTCCTTCTGCCTCCATTTAACTGGTCAAAACCTGTAAACCTGTTCCTCGTCACCCCCAGAGCATGATGCCCAGGGTCTCCACGTGCTTACCCTCACCACTCTCCTCCGTCAAGTCTACCCTGCTGGTGCCGGCAGAGGTTGCTCTCCACGAATCGAGGGGAGGGAGGCTTTATCTTTTGTTAGTCCACCAGCAAAGAGCCCATGACCTGCAGTAAGGCAGATTAATTTCTGCCAGGAAAATGCAAAACTCTCCCCTCTCCACCATGCCATGAGCAACTAATCACTTGCATATTTAAACACACTCATCTCGCTAAAATTTTGCGATGGAGCCGGTGACAGAGCAAATGTCGGGGCACATAACCAATGGCATTGTCAGTTGTGATTAATCAGCATCTCCACCAGGCTGGCGGCCAATTAGAATTTACCATAATAAGGAGGTGACAGCCGGCGTTGCTAAGCGACCACTGTCTATAGAGCTGGGAGAGCCAGACACATTTAGATGTTACTGTGGATTTCGACAGCGGCATGTCAAAACATCGCAAGCGTCTGCCCAGTGGAAAATTTTACAACCTGGGACTGGGCACCAGAGTGAGACATGGTTCCCTTTCAGAAAAAAATACATAAAGGAAGAGGTGGTTTTTTTGTCGGTTTGGGGTTTTCCCTTCCCCCTCCTGCCTCCTCTTGAAAGAAGACTTTAAGCAGTCAATCATTTATCTATGCTTAATTAAGAGATATCGTGCCACTGGAATAGGACTTTGTTACTGGGAAATGAGTTCCCATGGCTAAGTAAATGCTGGGACATTCATAGGAAATTAGCAGCAGGTCAGCGCGGAGACATTTATTTTCAGTCAGAGGTATTTATCTGGCAATGACATTCTGTTCCAGTGACTTACTTTATTATATGAAAGGATTAAAGAATAAAAGAAGGAGGGGGGGAAGGAGATGGAGAAATGAAAATAGACTGACAGCAGTTCCCATGTTAACATGAGAGCTGCTGACTCTGCAAATAATGAAAAGCTATGTTCCAACTGGGAGCAATAACCTTTCCTGTACTTTAGCTTACTCCTAACAGGGAGAGGGGGAGGGAGGTGTAAGACTTCTTTTTGAGTTTGCTACACTTTTATGGGTAAATCAGTTTATATACAGACAGAGGGTCATATTCTCAGATGAGGTATTCTGATTTTCACCAACCTATGACCTGAACCACACTGTATGTATGCTCAGCTGCGTGTGCTCTTCAGGTCTAAATAAACTGGCATAAAGTAGCATTTTTTTAACCTGTTCTTATTATAGAGCTATGCAAATAGGTGCTTGCACGAAAGAAAGTAATTATGTCTTCTCAAGAAGGAAATCAACACAGCCTTCACCTTACCTCTTTTAGTTTGGCATCACTGAAGGCTGGGGTCAGGAGGCTTCGGACATACTTCCATCTGTCATCACGAAGACAAAGGATGCTGTCAAGCATTGGCTTGGAAATCAAGTTCGGCTTCTAAGTTAAAAGAAAACAGGATTCAGTTTCAATACAAACATGACTAGATCTACTCCTTACTCTGGAACTTGCAAATATTGGTGAGTAATGGAATTGCACTGCTGTCCCACTATGAGTTTTAAATCAGTCTCAAACACCAACCTAAACATGGATGACGCTAGAGAAAATTTTCCCTTTGCTGCATGCATTTCCTCTTGGACTTACAAAAAAGCCTCAGGCCAGTCCAGTAACTCCTTGCTCAGACTGTTCTGGTTTTGATGTTCCTGGTGTTCTCCTGCAATTGTCAGTCCTCCTTTGCTGAACCCTGGCTTCTTTCCTCCCTTTCTAAAGTGACTAGCAAGAGAACCTGTCAACGCTCCCCCTCCATATGACAGGAGTGCCAACACACTGCATGCGGATGTCAGTGGGGGACAGAATTCCTGGTGACAGCTGGTATGTCAAATTGCTACATGTATTTTAAACGTCTTCAGAAAATACACTGATTAGAAAGCAAGACCCAGTCCTTACTCTGTCTATAAGGAACACTCTCCTGGAATTTTGCCCAACTAAGAAGTTGTGGCCTGGGACACTTACAGCTTCAGCAGTTAGTCAAACATAGTAGTTTAAAGCACTGCCCCATCAAATTCTGTTCCCTGATGACTGCTGTGGATCCGCTAAATTTTAATCCCACCCCCCAATAAGTAAGAAATTCCTACCCAGAGAACAGTGATACTCACCAAGGAGTAAAAATATAAAAAAGATTAAAGAGGAAGCAAGTCAGAAAATGATGCAATTATGCCTGGAAGAGGCATCAGGAGATGCCCAGCCCCATAACAGAATCTACTACAACTTATGTCATTGCTAGAGGAGGTTTCCTAATTGTTCTTGAAGGCCTCCAAAAATGAAGATTCAGTAATGTCCCCAAACAAAGTCTTCCAGTGCTGGACTGATCTTACCATGGCCACATGATCTCCCTTGTTGTAACTTAGCATCTTCAGTCTTTGTGCTAACATAGGCATAGAAAATAGGTTATTCTCTCCCTCTTTGCAGCAGCCCATATGTAGAGAAGGCTACAATAACCATTAATCATATTGGTATAATCTACCTCAAATAACACCAATTTGCTCAATGCATACTTAGCAGTCATGTTATCTGGGAACATTTGTTCAGTTTTGTTGCTGTCCCTCTGCACAGTCTTATTTATTTATATATTTCTTAAAGTATGATCCCTGTGAATTGAGATAGTGCTCTAGTCAGGGAGGGATTTTTTTCTATATATTCTGCAGGCTGTATTTCTCTCCATTCACCCCAAAATACTACCTACCACAGCATGACAATGTCAACTCATGTATTGGCTTGTGGTTTTCTGCAACTCTCAGACTTCTTTCCTAGATAATTACTCCCTAGGAAATTATTCCCCAACCTTTATCATTTAAGTTGGGGACTCCTAATAGTCATATATAAAACATGTCCTTGTTGAACTGTGACCATTCTTTTTATCATTACTTCTTCGACTGATCAAGACCACTTTGAATTGTAGCCCTTTTTCTCATAGTGTCTTTCATCCTTACCAGCTTAGTGCTTTCTACAGAAATTGTTATGAGTATGCCATCATCTAACCCAATAACAAAAGTACAGCACAGCACTTGTAAAGAAGCTACCTCTGGGATCCTCCCACATCATGTTTCCTTTCCAATAGTAGACTGTTCCCACTTTCCAAGTCACCTTCAGTCAGTATTTCAGGTATCATACAGCAACGTTCTGCACACAAACTATTTTAAAATTTGTGGATTGCACTTAATATCTTTTGTTTAAGCAACTGCCAGCTCTCCTTAACACTTTTTTCCCTTACACTTGCCAGAATCTCATTACACTGCATAAGCTCATAAAATGCAGAAGCCCATTTTATATTGCAAACAGGCTAATGGGATAGTTTTACTTTCTCAGCAACGCCACCCTGTGCAGTAAACTAATGTCACTGAACTGACATTACAGACCAGTTTTAAGCAAAGATGAGGTGTTTTTGAGTAGAAAAGCATGTAACAGGGTATTAAGCTGAAGGAAGAGACTGAGTCAAGTACTCTCATTAGATGACTACCGTAAGATAAAATATTGGCTTATGGCATACATCTATAATGTACAGATAGACTGTCCTACTTAGTGCAATAACAAGAAAAACTTAGGACAGGCTGTCAAAACTGAAGTGGTTTGGACTGTTTTCTTTGAGTATCCCCTTCAAAGAAATGATCTGTTTTCTAACTTGTCAGTAGGTATCTTCTGAAGCTCAGAGGTGCAACTAGAGAGACCATCATACACTGGAGCACTGCCTCATTTGTTACAGATATTCAAAGTCATAGTAGAATCAGAAGAATAAGGCTCCAGACAACTGGAGATGAGCATCATCCTTGGGGAAAGTACTGGATGCTTGCCTCTACTCCACAGTTCTTTTGTATTGCTGAGGAAGCCCTTTACACTAAATCTCGACTCAGCTGGTCACCATGTCAGTATTTCTTATGTATTTTGTTTTCAGTTTCAAGCTCTGAGGCCCGGATTGCAGAGCTCGTGGCGTTCACCAATGCCACTGAAGTCAACAATAGGGAATGTGCCTTGATCACACAAAATGTTTTAGTCCAAGAAATCAGGTCACTGAATGGGGACCCCCATTTAGCAAACACTCTCAGACCTGTGCTTCAACCACCAGTATTCACTCTTGATTTATAAAGTGGAGTTATCACATCACCACCTCAGAACTGCTAACAATACATTAACATTTCTGAGGCAAAGATCAGAATAAAAATTCCCACAAGGAAATGCCTAATTTTGTCCTCCAAGCAAGGTTTGAATAACGTAAAGGGACAAGAGTAAAAAAAAACCAAAACCAAACCAAAACACACACACAAAAAAAATCCCCCAAAAAAACCTGACAAACAAAACAGACATTTGGAACACTTGGAAAACTATTTTGCATCCACTCCTAAATTGAAGGCTGTCCAATTTGTACACTATATAAGACAAATGTCTACTTAGATGATACCAGATGCAATATAAATCTGACTGCATTTGCCTTGAAAGCAAAACCCCTTCCTAAAATCAAACATTCACCCTAAAAAATGCTCCTAATTGCATAAAGACCATATATAGCATGAACACAGAGAGGGGTCCAGTTACTGAACAAAAAGCCTGTTAACACTAATGCTATAACTATGACACTAACCATAGCACTGCCTTTTTAGCACTCTACATCAGTAATGCTCGCTTAACATATTTTTGGTGTGTATAGTATTATATAGACATAAACACTGAGAGGAAGAAAAGACAATTTTTGCCATAAATTATTTTACTCTGTCTCTTTAAACTGAGTACACAAAAACATGTCTGTGTTTATTGGAATAGCATCAGCATGACTGACAGTGTATAGCAGATTTCATTTATCAGGTTTTCCTTACCGTCTCTGCAAACACTTTCCTCCTAATTGCATAACCTATGTTACAGGTTCATAT